GCGGTTAGTTAGTAAACAAATTTCAAAAGACGGTCACATCATGTACATTTGTGAAGCATGTCTACTTCGTTTTCCATCTCAGGAAAGGTTAAATAACCATGAACAATACGATTATGCCCACATTTGTACAGTATTACCAAACAGTGAAACTTTAAAAAAAAAGAATTGGTTTGGTCAACCTATTTCAAATGATAAAATTAAATTTGATAGTTATGAAAAAAAGTTAAAGATACCATTCGTAGTTTATGCTGATTTTGAAGCATTTTTAAAACCAATAGAATCATGTTCTAACGATCCTTCCAAACCTTTCACTCGTAATATTCAGAAACATGAAGTACATAGTTTTGGATATTATATAAAATGTTCATATGATGATAAATTATCAAAATATGTAACATATTGCGGACCCAACTGTGCACAAGTGTTTATGGAAAGTTTATCTAACAATCTAAAAGAAATAAATAGACTTCAAAAATATCCACCACTTCCGCTAACAAATGAAGACAAAAACCAAATTTCAAATGCAACCATTTGTCATATTTGTGAAACTGAGTTGGCAAAACATTTTTATGATTTTGATTGGTACACTGGTAGTTTTATAGGTGTTGCTCATGAATCATGTTGTTCGAAGATCAGAACACCTCGTTATATACCAATATTTTTACACAACCTTAGTCACTATGATGCTCATTTTATTGTTCACGCGTTAAACTTTTGTGATGGTGAAGTCGAAGTTATCCCTCAAAATAAAGAAAAATATATATCCTTTTCCAAAAAATTAAAAGTGAATAACCACGAAATTATATTGAGATTCTTAGATTCATTTAAGTTTTTATCGTGTAAATTAGAAGAATTGGCCAAAAATCTCAGTAATGATCAATTTCAAGAATTACGTAGAAATTACCCTAATGATGAAGATTTCTTTCGTTTAAAACGGAAAGGTGTTTATCCATATGAACTTATGACTAATTATGATAGTTTAAGTCTAACATCGCTCCCTGAACAAAAATGTTTTTATAGTTCACTCACAGATTCACATATTTCAAATGATGATTACAATCATGCTAAAGATGTTTGGGAACATTTTGGGTGTTGTAATATGCTAGATTATTCAAACCTGTATTTAAAAACAGACGTTTTACTTTTATTCGATGTATTTGAAAACTTTAGAAAGTTATGTATTAATACATATGATTTAGACCCTGTCCATTATTACACAGCACCCGGTTTAAGTTGGGATGCAATGTTAAAATATACAAAAATAGAATTAGAACTTTTAACAGATTATGAGAAAATTGCATTTATTAGATCAGGTATCAGAGGTGGTGTATCTCAATGTAGTAATCGTTATGCTAGAGCTAATAACAAATACATGGAGGATTATGATACAGGGAAACCAAATTCATATATCACATATTTTGATGCCAACAATTTATATGGTTGGGCTATGTCTCAATATCTTCCTACTGGTGGATTCGAATGGGTAAATCCAAATACAGAATTTAATGTGTCTAAGACATCAGACTTCGGTTTTATTTTAGAAGTTGATTTGGAATATCCAGATGAACTTCATGATTTACATTCGGACTTTCCTTTATGTCCAGAAAACATTTGTGTAGGCAATATTAATGAGAATAAACTAGTCCCAAATTTAAATAATAAAGATAAATATGTAATTCATTACAGAAATTTAAAGCAGTGCATAGAAATGGGGGTTAAATTAACTAAAATTCATAGAGTTTTAAAATTTAAACAGTCTCCCTGGTTGAAGATGTACATAGATCTAAACACAAAATTAAGAACTTTAGCAAAATCAGATTTCGAAAAAGATTTTTATAAATTAATGAATAATTCAGTCTTCGGTAAGACTATGGAGAATATTGAAAAAAGGGTTAACATAAAATTAGTTACGCACTGGGAGAACCAGGGTAAAGCTTTAGGTGCTCAAGATCTAATCGCTAAACCACAATTTCATAGCCTTTCAATATTTTCGGAAAACCTAGTTGCGGTTCAGTTGCGAAAAACGAAGTTAATATATAACAAACCAATTTATTTAGGGTTTTGCATTTTAGATATTTCAAAAACATTAATGTATGATTTTCATTATAACTATATGATTAAAAAGTTTAGTAAAATCAAATTATTGTATACAGATACGGATAGTTTAATATATCATATATTTACAAATGATTTTTACACTGATATAAAACCTGACCTTTCATCATACTTTGATACCTCAGATTATGATACAAATAATATTTTTGAATATCCAAAATTAAATAAAAAGAAATTAGGTTTTTTTAAAGATGAAAATAATGGTAAAATCATGAAAGAATTTGTGGGTTTACGATCCAAAATGTACGCTTTTAACTTAGAGAATAAGACTATAGCCAAGGCAAAAGGGGTAAATAAATGTATCACTAAAAAGATGACAATGAATAGTTATAAGTCTTCTCTATTTAATAAAAAAGTGCAATATTATAGTATGCTTAGATTTAAATCAATTAAACACACAATTTTCACACAAAAATTAAATAAGATAGGTTTATCATATAATGACACAAAGAGACATATTTTAGATAATAATATTGAAACATTAGCTTGGGGTCATTATAAACTGCGTTAAGTGTTGATAGTTTTTACTTTTATGTCTGCGTTTAAGAAAAATTTATATTGATTGTAAAATTATGATAATACTATAATATGACGTAGTTTATTACATATTTAATCATTGTTTTATTGTAAATAATTTAAGTTAATTGTTGTTTCTATTTATTTGAGGTTGAGTTAATTGTAAAATTATGATGTACTAATTGTTGTTTCTATTTATTTGAGGTTGAGTTAATTGTAAAATTATGATGTACTAATTGTGTTAGAAATAGTATACAGATAATTCTGTTTTATATAATTTTTGGAATATATATTAATTGTTTACACCAACACTTTCATTTTTTATTTCACCCCTTTGAACTTTAGACGTGTGTTATGTTTCACTTTATCCATCCGTTCACTGCTATTGTGGCAGGACCAAGTGGGTGTGGGAAGTCAAATTTTGTAACAAATTTCATAAAATCAGTTACAGAAATATGTAATTGTGATTTTAATCAGATCACATGGTGCTTTGATGAAATGCAACCATTATATAATTTACCAAATGTTAACTATCATCAAGGAATTCCAAATCTTAATATGTTTGATGGTGAAAACCCACATCTTGTTATTATTGATGATCTAATGAGAGAGTCCGATGGAAGAATTGTGGATATATTTACAAAAGGTAGTCATCACAGGAATCTTAGTGTATTTTATCTAACACAAAATTTATTTCATCAGGGTAAAGGACAAAGAGACATATCTTTAAACTCAAGTTATATAATATATTTTAAAAACCCTCGAGATAAAACTCAAATAAGATATTTAGCAAGACAAGTATCACCAGATAACCCAAAATTCATTGAAGATGCCTACAGGGATGCAACTCTAGAGGCGCATGGATATTTAATGGTAGATTTAAAACAGAATACCAATGATTTTTGTCGTATCAAGACAAATGTCTTTCCATTTAATGGTTTCTGTACAGTCTACGTCCCCACAAAAGAGTTTAAATACACCAAGAATCAAACAATTGAAATACCATTGCTAAATGATGCATCGTCGACTCACAACGTATAAACATTTGCTAACCGCTTTGCATACGCTTAAACCAAAATATCAAAGAGCATTACTTACTTAAAACGTGTGATGAAGAAGAAATTAACTGTATTTGTGAGTGTATTCATAACGTTTTACAAGGAAAAGTACCTCTTAAAGATCAGGATAAACAAAAATTGAATAAACATAAAAACATACTCCGTAAACTACTACGTAAGTGTAAACATAAACTAAGAAAAAATATAATTATACAAAAAGGAGGGGCTTTCTTACCAACAATATTAGGTGCAATATTGAGTGGATTAGTGAGTGGACTAGCCAGTTAACATGGAAAATGCAAAGAAAATGATACTTATCGAACCTGGATTGATTGAAAAATTAAAACAAGAAAATAAGGTTAATAGTAATTTATCTCGATTAGATATTGAAATGCAAAATATTATGAATAGTAAGACGGAAGACCGAAAGAAATGGATATTATATTTACAAACACTGCAAAGATACCTTCATTTTACCGAAGAGGATCGTCAACCACTCAAATTACCAATTTATTCTGATACATCTAATGAAGATTCAAATGAGTCAAAAATTGGTTTTAAAAATAAAGATAGAGATCTAAAAACTTCAGTTGATATTGAATCTTTGCTGGAGGAGAATCGATCCATTAAAAGTAAAGAAAATGATGAAAATCCACTTTACACACCAGCTCAAATACTCAGTTTAATACCAAAAACTTATCATAAAAAAGGGCAGTTATTATTAAACTTAGTTGAAACAAGTAAAAGTAAAATACATTGGGATAATGAAGGTACAGTCATAATTGATAGTGAAAAAATTCCTGGAAGTAATATTGTTGATTTAATAAATGATTCACTAAGACCCCTAAAAAGAAGTGATCCGGTAGGGTGGGTTAGATTTGCTGAAGCATTAAAAGATATTAAAGTACCACTTACTTATATTGGAAATCCAAGGAGATGTGAGTTTATTAACCAACTTCAAGCAAAAGATCTGAACAAACCCTCTGAGATTGAAGTTCAAGAGTTTTCTACACCGGGCAGTAGAGATAAAAAGTCTACAACTAAAATACGTAAAGGACTTGAGTGGGAAAAATGGACCCCGTACTAGAAGAAATTAACAGGATTTATTATGATCCATCTAATCCCGCTGGTTTTGGTAGTATTGATAAATTATCAAAAGCCATGAAGGGTAAAATGAATAAAAAGCAAGTAAAGGAATGGTTAAAATCACAAGAAACATACACATTACATAAACCCATTCGAAAAAAATTCCCGCGTAATAGGTACATTCTATCAAATATTAATGAACTGTGGCAAGCTGATTTAAGTGATATGCGAAATTATTCTCAATATAATGATGGTTTCAAGTATATACTTTGTGTTATTGATGTATTTAGTAAATATGCTTTTGCAAGACCAATGAAAAAGAAAAACTCAGAAACAACTAAAGAATGTTTTGAAAGTATATTTACTGAAAGTAATTTAACACCTACTCACATACAATCCGATAAAGGTACAGAATTTGTTTCAAAAGATGTACAAAAATACTTTAAATCCAAAAAGATTAATTACTATACCACTAACAATCCTGACATTAAGGCCAGTATTGTTGAACGATTTCAAAGAACACTAAAAATGAAAATGTGGCGTTATTTCACTCATAATAATACTTATAGATATATAGATGTTTTACAAGATTTAATATACTCTTATAATCACAGCTTTCACTCTAGTATTAAGATGTGCCCATGTGATGTAAATTCCAACAATATTATGACAGTTTGGACTAATCTTTATGATAGACGGTCAAAAAAACTTTCTTTAGAAAATCCTAAACCAAATTTCAATGTGGGTGATTATGTTCGAATAACTAAATATAAACATGTATTCCAAAAAGGATATGAATCAAATTGGAGTGATGAAATATTTATTATATCTTCAATAATTGATAGATCTCCATGGGTTGTTTATACAATAACAGATTTACAAAATGAACCAATAATTGGTACTTTTTATGAAAGAAAATTACAGAAAATCACTTACAACCCCACCTCACAACATAAAATAGATAAAATAATTGACACTCGTTATTCAGGTAACAGAAAAGAAGTATTAGTGAAGTGGAAAGGTTATCCAGATAAATTTAACAGTTGGATTTTAGCTTCTAGTTTAAAAGAAATATGAATAAAGAAAGTTTCTATTTAACTTTGCTCAGCAATAGTTCAATGGAATACTTTCCTGATAACAAGACCACAAATTTTTCAACGAAATTACCAAAAGCTATAAAATTAGAAGGTGAATGGTCGGTTAGAGTTGTCGAGTTTCAATATCCATGTACCATGTTTACTGTTCAAGACCATGAAAATGTTATATACATTACAAAATCTATGTTAATGCCTAATGAAGATAAACCATCCACAGTGTACTACAAAAAACATATTCCAGCTACCAACTATGATAACGTTGAGCATATTTTAAGAGTGTTAAATGGTATCGGAGAGAACTTGAAATTTCGCTATGATGAAATAACAAAATTTGTGTCTATTTCGGTATTGGATAAAAATATAACATCCGTAACATTATCACCCAAATTAAGTTTACAGCTAGGTTATGAACCAAATAAAAATCTCCTAGAGAGAAATTTTGGAATGTGTCCTGCTAATTTACACTTAGGGTTACCATCTCAACTATTTCTATATTGCGACATTATCGATCCTCAGATTGTGGGTGATGTTATGACTCCTTTATTAAGAGTCATTTCATTAGATCCTACAAAATACATTTATGGTGCAAATAAAATGCACGTTTTCTCTCAACCTCACTACTTACCTGTTATGCGAAGAGAGTTTGATACGCTGGAAATAGTTATAAGATCGAGTACAGGACAAAAAATACCATTCCAGTTTGGAACCGTGTGTATTAAACTACATTTCCGAAAATTATAATAATGAATTCTCTTCGTGATCATCATAAATGTCCATATGAAAATTATTATACACATCAAGCTGGATCAGGAGTTGGAGTAATTTATAAGGGTTCACCATATCAACGCGGTCATGGTATTGGGAGCTTCTTAGGGGGGTTATTCAGATCAGTTTTACCTTTACTTTCAAGTGGTGCTCGAGTGATTGGTAAGGAGGCATTAAGCGCTGGAGTAGGACTTTTATCGGATATGGTTCAAGCCCGTCCTATGGAAGCCTCAATAAAAGATCGTCTAAAGCAAGTTAGTACGAATTTAAAACGAAAGGCTGATGAGAAAATTGATCAGTTTAACATGACTGGATCTGGGTATAAAACTAAAAGAAAACGATTGACATCGTTCATTCCACCATTAACTGCTAAAGTGAAAGCTGCGAAAAAACTTTGTCTAAAACCAAAAAATATCAAAGATATATTTTCAAACTAAATATGTCTTTCCTTCATAATCATTCTTGCGAGTGCGTTAAGTCAGAATTGGATTTGTTTGCACTACCGTCTACACAAACTAGCATTGAAAATGGATTGTGGATTCATTATAAACCAATTTCATCTCTTGGTGATGATGGACCTATCGAGTTTCAAGTTCCTGGGACCGGCGATGACTACATAGATTTGTCTCATACATTACTCCACATAAAGGCAAAAGTATTAAATCAAGATTCAACTAACTTGGTATCTACTACAATAGTAGCACCTGTAAATAATTGTCTGCATTCACTTTTTAGTCAACTTGATGTTTATTTAAACCAAAAACTTGTATCACCACCTAATAATACCTATGCATATCGAGCATACATGGAAACCCTTTTAAACTATGCCCCTGCTGCTAAACAATCTCATCTTACTTGTAGTCTTTGGTATGAGGATACAGCAGGAAAAATGGATTCTACAGATGGTAAAAACATAGGATTTGTTAAAAGACAGGAATTGATTAGTGAAAGTAAGGAAATAGAAATGATTGGTCATCTTCACGGTGACATTTTTAACCAAGATAAATTTTTAATTAATGGTGTTGAAATGAGTGTTAAATTGGTTCGATCAAGAGAGAGTTTTAATTTAATTGTTGGGTCAAACGATGTAAAGTTTAAAGTTTGCATTACGGACGCAACTCTTATTGTTCGACGAGCACGAATTAATCCAAGTGTATTACTCGCACATCAAAAAGTTTTAGCTTCTACCACTGCTAAATATCCTATTACTCGAGCTGAAGTAAAAGTTTTAACAATTCCTTCGGGTGTTCAAGGAAAAACTCTTGATAATATATTTTTAGGACAGGTACCGAAAAGATGTATAATTGGATTTGTGAACAATTCTGCATTTAATGGTTCCCTTACTAAAAATCCATTTAACTTTGAAAACTATGGTATTAATTCTTTCAGCTTATATATTGATGGTCAACAAATACCTTCAAAAGCTTTGCAACCATCTTTTAATAATAGCATATTTACATCAGCATATCATACTCTATTCTCGGGAACTGGTATTCACTTTCTTAATGAAGGAAATGGAATCTCTTGTGAACAGTATGGCAAAGGTTACTGTCTATTAGCATTTGACTTAACTCCTGATTTATCAGCTAACTCATCAACTCATTGGAATCTCATAAAGCATGGTAGTGTAAGAATAGAAGTACGATTTGAATCCTCATTAATACAAACAATTAACTGTATAGTTTATGCTGAGTTTGATAATATTATTGAGATAGATAAAAACAGAAATGTTACTGTAGACTATAGTAGTTAAGGTTATAATATGTGTTGTGTGTTAGATTTTATGTGTTATGTGTAATGCATTTTGTGTGTATGTAACTATGTGAAACGTTATAAAATTAAATAAAACAAATTGTATGCAATATGTTTTTTTTTATTTCTTTATAAATCTTCTATTTAATCTAATACAAAACACTGTTCGAGTTGAAATTTTACATAAGCACACTGACTAAACCACTGAACATGCTGCTGCCAAGGATCATCATCATCTTCCCAATCTTTTAAACCACCACCACAATGGAAACACTTGGTCCCGTCTGCATGACCAGTATAAAAGAAACCAGCTTCTGCAAGATCTTCAGGTTTCTGTCGCATAACGAGAGGCCAGTTTTCGAAACTAAGCAAACGGCTAGATTTTGAACTGAAGAATGGATATTCAGCTCTTGAGTACTGCATACTCTTCTCGTTTTCTTCTCCACTCAGTGTTGTAGTTTTGTTATTCAATGATGTGTTTTGTACACGTATGCCACACTCATCTCTTCCTTCCGCTCTTGTCTTCCTGTAATTGAAGTAAACAGAATCACATTCACTAATGATCAGCTAATGACTGTCATTGTTAAAAAAGTATTTTTTAACTTTTTCACTTTCTGCTATTGTCTTTGTTATATTGTATACGAGGGCGTTTGTGTTGTCGTAGATGCTATCCTTATTAGTCTTTACGTAATATTTAATTCTCGTGGAAGCATGTTTCCAATGATCAGTAGTTGGAATCTTGGATAGCTTCTTCATATCGTACATTTCAATTTTGATGAGATGCGTCGCTTGGTCTCCGTCGTCAGAATTAGTAGAAATGTATGATACACCATCTCTAGCGGCTCGTGCTACGGTTGATGATAACAGCTTCCTCTTTTTTATTTTTGATTCAGCTTCAAAAAAATGATCAATCGATTGCGATTTTCTTTTTCCACCATCGCATGTGTTATTATTAATGACGAGGTCATCACTCTCTTCTTGAGGGGAGAGTGGCGAGTAGTAATACTGTGTATAGGTATTTTCATCGAAGCTCAATGATTTCTGCAACAACACAGTTATCATGTTAATATCAATTTGTTAACACTTAATCATAAAAGTTAAAAAAGTTAAAGTTACAGCCTATTAAAGTCCACTGCTGAACATAGGCCTCCTCTCATTTCTGAGAGGGTTTTAGGGCAAGGAAATGTCCGCCGCGCTGCCTCAATGTGTGTTGGCGAACTTCACATGCCTTCGAAATTTTCTCAGACATGCAGGTTTCCTCACGATGTTTTCCTTCACCACCAAGCACGTGGTAATAAGCACTTAAACTTGCGATTAACAATTTAATTGGTGCTGGCGGGGATCGAACCCGGGTCGCGTACTGTGAAATTTACAGCTAGCGCTAACCATCTGAGTTACCACGGTTTAATCATATACATACACAATATTTAAATAAAATAATACACACGCATGAAAATAACAGAAAAAAAGTAATTTAGTCAATAGAATAAACAATTACATCCATAGCCTTTGGTGCATTGAAGTAACACAAATGTACTATTGATAGATTCACTGCAGTCAAACGACCATACACTAACTCGATGACTGCGTCTGTTGGTCTTATATACCACCAGTACGTAAAAATTCTAATCTAAAGTATTTCCGTAATGAGTTGATAATTACTTTATGCGTCAACCAGTTTATCTCACATTTCCGTTGCCTATCTCAACATTTCTTCGTATTGTGTTTTGTTTGGTGATCAATGACTCAAGTACGATTTGTATAACACAAAAATGCAATTTAATATTTAGAAATCACTATAATTGACCATTCCTATGTTATTCATTGAGTAGATTGGTACTGTAATAATCTACTAATAGCAGTAATATCATGGATACACTAGATGTACAACAACATCTGAAAAAGATTCACCCCAGTCTAGAAAATAATGTTTATGCAGCTAATAGACTGCCTATGTATACCCACGTACCAACGTATATAATATGCAATTTGGATACAGATGATAAACCAGGGTCACATTGGGTAGCTTTATATATCGATACGAATGACGTCGGTCAATATTTTGATTCATATGGACGATCACCTGTACGATATCATCTAGAGTTTTTAAAAAGGAATTGTAAAAGATGGAACTGGAATGTTGATAGGATTCAGAATGAGTGGACTTCAGTTTGTGGCGAATATTGCTTAATGTATTTGCTATATAAGTTTCAGGGATGTTCAATACATAGTTTTACGAGTATATTTACAAGGAACACATTGTACAACGATATTTTAGTTGATGAGATGTTTCGCTCCTATTTTATAGATAAAGTAATAAGATTTTGTATTTTATAAATAAAAATTGTAACAAAATTATGTAATGTGTTTTATTGATGATTCAGATTAGCGTTGTATAATTAGGAACAAAGAAGTATAATACAATAGCACTGATATAGTCGACGCACACGCTGCAATGAAGGTGATTAATGAACAATAGAACAATAGAAATAGGAACAATGGGACGCTAATGACGGTGGAGGCCCTTGGAGACGCTACTGACTCAGGTGGTCCAGGAGTGGTACAACTACACTACTCGTGTTGGGTTTTTCTGTCAAAAAATTCTCATTGGCAACTTGGAATCAGAAAATTATATTGTCTAGGAATTCTCTCCTAACCGGTTAACCTTTTGAGTCACCCTCCTTACACTGATTTACATCTAAATCTTTATCCTGTGACATATTTATATTTCTTAAAATAATAAACCTGCTGAAAGGGATACGGTTTTCAATTTGGATGATGCTTAAGCATGCTAGCAGCGTTCGAGCAGCCCGTACAAGAGTTGTCTTTTTTATAGTATGTATAGTATAGTCTGAAACAGATTGGAAAAACTATTTAGAAAATTCGTTCAGACACATAAAACTTTGTACAAATTCTGGTGGAGAGTTTTTCGAAAATAAAAACCTTAATTAAACAACTTTTTTTTTAAATCATATCTTAAAAATGTAGTTTTATCGCAAATGCTACACATGGAATGAAACTAATTATATTGTGGTTGTAGCATGAATGGGTCGGCTCGATCGGGGTAGGACCACACTCTCACAGTATACCAGCATAAAATAGCAGCTTAATGCTGCTTATTTTTGGTATGGTGAGTGTAGAAAACTAGAGACCCTTTTTACTGGAAACAACACATTCCATCTCAGTCCTCAGGGGTGATAGCGCATCTGAATTTCGATACTTAATTGAGTATAAATGTAGATGCCTATGAGTGACAGCATTCACTTACCATCAGGTGGACTGTGTGCTCGTTTGTCACCGTTGTTCAATAAAAAAAATTGTGCTTTGGTGTTGTAAAGTGCCCGAAACGTAGAGAATTAATATAGTAAAAATTAAACGCGATAAAATCCGTAAAATTAACTTATTGTTTATTTGGCATAACTTGCCGAGTGGCTCACGTATGAACATGGAAGTCCGCCACCAATCACTGTAGTTCTGTAGTAGCACGACAGTTTAATTGCATTACTTATAATCCTAACGGAAATTACTTTACTTTTAAAAGTTACGGTATATGGCGTGATCGCGGATCAGGAAGAATCATTCATTGCAAATCATTGCAATTCATACAAATGTGAACTTTAATAACTTGTGCATAAACTCGGTTTTCAAATCACAAACACTGTTCAAAAGGTCCTAAAACTATCTTAGATGCAATAGAAATAAAAGTTTTTATGAGTTTAAAAATGCAAAACAAAAAAATAATTCCTGTTTCGCGACCGTGCTTTACCTATATCGTGACATTGTGGTTGTGGCAGCAGCGTAAGGAAATCCATCACCTCATTTCGTCTCGTGTTATGACTTCGTATTAGAACAGGATAGAATAGAATCATTTTTATTCAATAAATACTATGATGGTTGTGCCGGCAACTTCGTACGCACAGTTTTGAATAATTTATTATTATACTTCCCTATTTGAATCGGATTGTGATCACAATTTTATGAGTTTTAATTTTTTTGCGCGGAACACAATGTCTTTTTCTGAAATATAAGTAGCCTAAGTTACTACTTATAACATTACGAGTAGCTATCTGTCAGTGAAAATCTCTTCAAAATCGGTTTAGCCGTTTCGAAAATTTGCCGGAACAAACAGACGGACAGGCATACAAATTTTTTTTTATTATAAGTACCGTATAATCTTTAATATGCATTTAGTAAAAAGATGTTATTTTGACAAACAGACCCTCAATTTGATTTATACGTCAGTCATATAATACACTATATACCAGGATACGTCAGTCGCCGTCGTGAGTTGACATTGTTTCGGTTGTTTGCAGCGCAGCGGCTCAAAAAGATCGCTGTACAATAACACAATATTTGAATAACCAAATTTCTTAAATACTTGATTATAAGACGTAATAATAAGAGATTTTTTTATTACAATATTTTAAAAGCACAGATTAAATAATAGTAGTACGTACTAAAAGAAAGTAGTATCAATTTTTTTGTCATGGGTGCCGATAGGGTTGTCGAAATGTAAATCCAGGATGGCGGCTGAATTAGGTACCAATTTTTTCATCATGGGTGTCATTTTCATGGGTTTCGAGGGTGTTGAAACCGATAGTGCTGTCGAAATGTAAATCCAAGATGGCGGCTGAAGTAGGTACCAATTTTTTCATCATGGGTGTCATTTTCATGCTTTTCGAGGGTGTTGAAGCCGATAGTGCTGTCGAAATCTAAATCCAAGAAGGCGGCTGCAATAGATATCAATTTTTTCATCATGGGTGTCATTTTCATGGTTTTCGAGGGTGTTGAAGCCGATAGTGCTGTCGAAATGTAAATCCAAGAAGGCGGCTGCAATAGATATCAATTTTTTCATCATGGGTGTAATTTTTATGGGTTTCGAGGGTGTTGAAGCCGATAGTGCTGTCGAAATGTAAATCCAAGATGGCGGCTGCAATAGATATCAATTTTTTCATCATGGGTGTCATTTTCGTGGTTTTCGAGGGTGTTGAAGCCGATAGT